TTTGATACGAGATGAAATGATGAATTTGATTGGATGAAAATGGTGTATGAGTCTTTTACTTGATGAGGATATTTTAGACAATTTTTCATTTTTATTTATTGTATTATTTAATTGAGGTCATTTGACCTATAAATATTGAGAATGAATTTTTTTCCAACTACTTTGTTTGACTGTCTTTTAACAAAGAATCCCTTATAAATGAGAAAACAATGGGGGTGGGTGCATAATAGTTAAAGCTGAACTTGCTCATTCAGAGTTTCTATATAAATATATCAAATAACTTGGTTAATATTGAGTGGCAATTTTGACATGTATAAAAGTAAGTTTTAAAATAAATAAGTTTTTATTTGTATAAAATTAAAATACATAAGTTACTATTTTGATAGGTCGAAATTATTTTCAAATAATAATAAACATTTTTTTTTAACTTGGATATGAAGCTATTCAAATATTTCAAGGGAAAAATACATAAATAAGTTAGTATCAAGACACAAATTCAAATATGAGAAACTTATTTTAAAATTTTAAAAATCATACTATAAATATGTTATTTGATAATGTATATTAGAAAATAAAAGATATTAAAAAAGATTTTCCCTTTAAATCAAAGAATCGATTACACATTCATACCAAAAATCATGTATTATTAATTAAATAGGTTAATATTACAATAAGAAACAGTTAGTCACATGTATGTATTATTCACAGTCACAAATCACAAATTTTATTAATCACAAATTATTTATCGATCACAAATTATCAAATTAATTGGTTGCAACTTATTTTTGATCACAAATTTTATCGTTTACAACTTATTTCACGGTCATATACTATCAAATGAATTAATCACAACTTATTTATTGGTCTTTAAGATACAAATTGTAGGTTACACTACAAATTTAGTCATTGATCATATATTTTATATGTCACACATTATTCATTGGTTACAATTTATTCGTTTTATTGTCACACTTACCAAATAATTGGTCACAATCACTCTTTATCCAACTCATTTCGCCCCACCACCACCATGACACCACCAAAGATGAATTGTTATGTAGAGAGGGTAGAAAGAGTGTGATTTAATAATTTATTAAAAAAAAATTCAATTATGGCCTGATTTTTGAATAAATAAGTTTTAAACATGAATTTTGAAATTGAAAGTTGAGAATCATACGTGGGTGTAATTTCCACAATATTTTTTTAAGCTTAGCTGAGCTCTAAATCTTTCAAGGAATGCATTTTGCGGTTATGTCACATGTACATAATAGGTTTACATACACATGATATATTGAGATATGATTATGTCATAATTTCTTCAACAAAAAAATAAAATTTACCACTCTCCTTTTGACATTTCATCTGTATGTAAATCATTATATAATTATTTATATTCAAGTAGTATTATTTTATATTTTACCATTCACATTCCAAGAAGGAGATGATAATCTCATATGGTCCAATACCAAAAATATTTCAGCCCTTGATTGACTCCCCAAGTCAACAGTCACCCAACTCCTTCAATCAGATCCAACAGTAGACAAAATTCTTTAGAGCATTTCCAATGAATTTTACTAGAGCCCTTTTTGATAGTATTTCTTTTTCATGGAATTAGGAATTGGTTTTTCATTTTCCACATTTTTGCTTGTTTGATAGGCAAAATTTCTTAGCAAATGGTTTTCCACCCAACCCCCGTTTTGATCATTTTCTTGATTTTTGAGGAAAAACTTTTCCCACCACTTTGGTGGGGAAAAGCTTTGAGTAATGCTACGTGTATATAATCATTCACATAATGGTTCACATAATTACATGTGACATATGATCCAACCTTTAATTCAAATTTAACTCTTACACATCAACAACTGAATGATTGACACATCACCATTATGTACACCATTATGTGCATCATTATATACCTCTTACATTATTCTTAT